TGTGACATAACGCCAGCAGAATTCACATAAAAGTCAAAGCTTACAAGCGTGGAGCGGGGAGCGGGGAGCGAGCGAGACTAGCAGAGAGGGAGACAATGCATGAGAGGGAGGCAGAGCGGAAGAGAGTTATAATTCTATTTCAATTAAGAGGCTATATCAGTATTTGGCTGGTCACGACGCTGGCGATAAGATGGGCAGTCAGCCGTCATATATTAATAGGGCGCACACAAACTTATTTACATACATATTGTATGCATATGTATGTGAGTGTGTTTGTATATTTAAATGAGTTTTTTTGTTGTAAAATACTTATGACTTGCGACGAAAACTCACAAAATATCGACGCCCTTGCATAAATACATGCATATACATAAGTAAGTGGATATACACATACATACATACACAAGTACATATACAAACATTTTATATTTTATATATTGATATCTTTTGCTTTGCTTTTATGGCATATAAATCGTTTAAAATTGATTATGTCGCCGAGAAGCCGTGGAATCAAAAAAATACTGGAGAAAAAACAACAACAAATGCAAACAACGCATACAAATTATAACAAGCAAACAAGAAAAGCGCACACAAAAGCGTTCAGTGAAAAGAGCGAGTTAAAAATATTTAGTGTTACAATTTATAACCTTAAAGCGCCGCATAATAGAAAATATACACACACACTAAGGTGAGCCAAGAAAAATTATGCATATAATTTATGGATTAATACAAGCCTATATACAGCGAAGCCATAATACAAAAGATTCCACACAAGAACTTGGTTCCCATCGTTCAGCTTCTATGGCAGCTATATGTTACAGTAATCCGATCTGAACAACTTCCCCGGAGATGACATTATTTTCTTAGGGAATATCCCTTGACAAATGTCGAAAAGCTTTTTCGTCAAATAAAAAAGTTTTTCCCACAAACCCTCACTAGACTCAGGTCCCAGACGGACATGTCTAAATCGACTCAGCTCGCCCATACCCTCGAATTCGGGCCAAAAATAATCCGTAATTTTTGAGCGGTAGAGAGCTGTTGGCATCCACTGCATGGAAGATTCTGCGAAAAGATCTTAGTTTACGCGCTTAAAAAGTCTAACTCGGCAAATGGGTCCGAATGCCAAAAAAATTTTGCTTATGAAGCTCACTTTTGGTTGAATTGGCACATTAATAATTAAAATGTTTGCATTTGTAGTGATGATAATCTAAAAAAAAATGTTGAGACGCCGTAACATGCTTAAATAGTAACGTACTGGTGTCATCTATGGAAATCATTGATCCACATTTCTTCGAAAATGAAGTCGTTCATAATAATAATCAATGAGGAACTCTGTAAAGCCATTACTAATGAATTTTTTGTGTCTGAATTGAAGAATGCTGATGTGAATGACCTTTAGTTCATTTACTATTGCCGAGCACACTATCTCGCGTGACGTGGTCTCTACGATCATACGAATTAGCATCGCTGAACTTTTTTGTGTGGGTTGTGTGCAGTCGCTTGTCTCGAATTTATTTTTTGAAGGCAATTGCGAACCCTTATACTTGTATTTATAAAAAGCAAACTTCTTGGCAATAATAATATATGAAAGTTTTATATTTTCTTGAAAATCACATGTCCAAAAAGCACTTTTTTATAATATCACATTTAATAAAAATTCAAAAATTCAAATAAAACTAAATAAATTAGTTAATATGACTTATTATTTTGAATTCTCAAAAAAGTGTCATATATACTAATTAATTCTCGGTTGCATTTGTAATAGTTTAAAGACAGAAAAATTTAATTTTTTTTTTTCAATTTAAAAAATTCATTCATATGTATATTTAATGTTTGAGATGTTTAAAAAATTTGTATTATAATTTTTCCTCTGCATATTTTGACTCACCCTAATATGCAACACATATTTACACTCAATAATATTTACTTTGCGGCGCACTTAAAGCGCTTCAATTAGCTAGAACTCGCACATAAATGTGTGTTTGTATGGTATACGCCCGCCACAAATCAAAAGCGGAAAGTAAAAATTGAGGGCAAAAAACAGACAAATACGGGTCAGTAGAGGCCGCCGTGAACTGAAAATTAGTCGCCACCTTCTTCTATTATTTACTTACATACAAACACCATTATTAAAAAATTTCATACACGGGGGAAGACCGAGCGCTTTTTTGATAGCGCCAAGTGGAACTTTTTGGGGATTTTGATTTATTTCTGCGTTTGGTAATAAATATTTTTTCGGCATAAATTGTATTTCATAATGTAAGCTTGTACATAAATAACAATAAAGACGCAAGTGTGAGCAATTGATAATTCGTTTAATCGATGGTTATTTATTTCATTCGCTCAAAAGACCAAAGGTATTTGATTTGGGGAACAATGAGACGTGCCAGCTTTCAGAATAAACGCTTGATGAAAAATGTTTAATACACACATATTTAATAGAGAGTAGTAAAGGGGAAATGAATTTGTATAAACTCTAAGTTGAAAAATAAGTATTCCCTGTTATAATAAAAATATATGTTGAATAATTTATTTCACATATTGCGAACATTCACCCGAAATCATAAAAAATTCTTTTAACTCAAATCTATTATTTTGATAAGGCCTTAACCCTAATTATAATTGGCCATTTTTCATGCTGCCATCCAGTTCAGATTTTAATGATTTTTGAACACTGCCTTAATCAAAGACAGACTTGAACACCGTACTTTTTTATACCGTACCCATTTGAAACACTGAAGAAGGTATAATAAGTTTGTCACGATGTTTGTAACACCCATAACGAAATGCCAGAGACCCTAAAAAATGTATATATAGTGTGTATAGTATACAGAACTGAGTCGATGTAGCCATGTCCGTGTGTCCGTCTATCTTTTCCTCCACCAGTCCATTCGTCTCTTTGCCCTTCTGTCCATCCTTCTGAATAAAACCTAAGTGCAAACTAGTCCATCAGTTTTTGAGATATCGATCTGAAATTTTACACCCGACCTTTTCTCAATAAGAATCCGCCTATGTGTCTGAACTGCCGATATCTAAATACCAGAGCTTGAGAGTGTTTCATTTAGCACGTAAGAGCTGGGGTCAAAATTCTACGATGGGCGTGGCATAACACGCTTTTAAGAAAAATCACATATCTCGGGAACCGCACGACCGATTAATTCGGTATATAACATAATCCTGAAGAACCTAAGTCAAGTTGTGAAAAGGGCGGTAGCGGACTACAACCACCCCTACTTCCCATATAGCAAAATTTTAAATTTCATAAGATTGTTTTAATTGCCAGTCTGCAAATCAAGAACGACTTAATGTATCCGGATAAAACTTTGCCCTCTAGATTTATATTACGTCCCAAATTTATGGAAATCAGACTACAACTTTTCAGAAACCCAGACGTAAAATTTGTGGGCTTCAGTCCGTATGGCTGATTTCTTGCCAAAAATATCGGTTAATCTGTGAGATACATTATTAAAATTCGGTAAAAAGTTGTCTTTGATAATAATATAAGCTTGTATCAAAAGTGGGTCGAGAATCGGATCAATATCTCCCTTAGCCCTCATATGCCTAACCTAGATTTTTAAACCTTCACTTGACCTTTCACCTTGATTTTTTATAATATATATTATGTAAGTAACGGTTTTTCAATAGCACAGTACAAAAGTAGACCAATAGGGATGGAAATAACCTCGCCATACTTTTTCCCGCGCTTCCGATATTTCTCTTCAGTAAGGTTTGCCATTCCACCATGGAAAATCAAAATCTGCTTGCGATATCAATGAAATTAGTTATTCCTGTGAAAGTGCTTTCGTACGTATAATTTTAAAAGTATCCATTGCATCGCGAAAAAATACGGTTGCTGCGGCAGCGTCATTGGGTCATACTTCTTCCGTGATGATCAAGGCCGGCATTTCACTGTGAATGGCAATCGCTACCGCTCAATGATAACCGAATATTTTCGCCCCGAATGAATGAGCCACGCAATGCATGTCAAAATCGATTTACTGAAAACCAAATGGTAAAGTCATTTGACCGTCTCGGTCGTGGGATTTCATGTTTTGGACTATTTTCGGTGAGGCTACATCAAGCCTATGGTAAATGCCAAAAAGCCAGCGAAGTTTGATGAACTTTGTAAGTATATCGAACGTGAAACTACGGCAGTATCAGCCGTTTTATGCTTGAAAACCGTCGAGAATTTGGTTCAGCGTCTAGACTTCTGCAAACGTGCCCGAGGTGGTCATGCAAAAGAACCGAGTTCCATAAATAGAATTCATTGATATCAAACCGCTTTTTAACCGCTTTTATTGAAAAACTCGTTACCTAATACAACTCCAACTTCCGGATGACTTTATGTTGAATATATCGGCCAATATTTGAGTTATCTCAATGAAAATAAGAGAAAATGTTGTACTCATAACAGTGTAGCTTTGTGCTAATTACAACAATACATATGTTGTAACTACATAAGTGAATTTCGTTTTCTGTTTCCTGCGAATGGTTTTCTGTTATAATATTGCAGAGAGCAATAGTGTCTGCTTATTTAGGCGATGTTAGATTAAGTTGGCTTATTTTCACTAATATGGGTGCAAAAGCACTTTTTCTTAACAGCTCATCAGCTTTGGTGTGACCTGGCAAACCTTCTTGTCTTTTTATTAAGGGATTCGGTTATACAGACATTTTGTAAAGTATGCCTCGAAGTTCGCTTCTAATCAACGTTATATATATATATATTTACATTTGAACTGTGATCAAAACTTAAAAAATACTGTGCCGCAAATTATTTTTAGAATAATACTTAAATAATATTAACACCAAAATCGCTGCAATAAACTAGGCCCATATTAGAGATTAATCGTATTTTTTCAAGCTGTAAGTTCTATGTCAAATATAGCTAAATAAACGTTAAGACAGCAAAATGTTTTACTCATTATGGCACTTAATGACATGGCTTTATTCGAAAATACATTTATTTCCATAGAAGAAGAAACGAAATTTTTCAAACTAACCTTTTGTGAAGTGTTTCATGCCATCCTAGTATGTGACTTTGTGATTTGCTGCAAGACATAGAGACACATAAGAAAAAATAATAATAATTTTGCTTAGTGAAAATACAAAAAACTGTTATTTATTCGAAACAAATCTGTATTAATACAATATATAAAGCATTAACGGCATGAGTAAAGTCTTAACAGTACTTCTAAACCACATTCAGTGCTGCCATATCTAATTAGTTCCGCTTTATAGCTAAAATTAATTGCTTGAGAATTGACAGTATTTATATATACATATATATTATTGCATAAATATTGACATTTTTATTATTCAATAATTGCTTCTCATAACAGTGCCGCCAAGTGTCAAAGCTTAACGGGTACTTCAGCTAGTCAAATAGGTACTTAGTGACACTATTAATAGATAATAATCGCTATGGCAATACCATTAATTGCCATAGGCAATTAAATTTAATACAAATTTTGCAAGTAGATAGCGGTGCAAATTTTCACTTTTTTAGTTTTTGAAACTCGTAAATGCATCACAACCCGAACTGGCAACAACAATTCGAAAAAGCGGAAAGGTGATTTTTTATTAATTATTGTAATGAAATTTTCATTAATAAGCCTTTTGAAGCAGTCAAATAACTGTGAAATGACCACAAACATACCAGCGTCATCCACTTTTATTATATCTAATTTAAATTCATCAAAATATTATGAAAACAATTGAGTTAATAATCAACCACTTTGCCGTGTGTCAATAAATATTTAATTATCAATTCACTGTTATAAATGAAAATCACGTATATAAATATGACTAATATAGTTATTATTTTATTTGCTCAATTAAAAGGTGTGAACTCTGTAGTAATACAATATGTAAATTGCATATTTTTGCATTGGAAATTCATTTAAAATGTATACATACATCCACACACAAATACATGCACACATGCAAAACAATTCGAGAACAATTCTGCAGAAAGTCAATAAAAATCATTTTATTTAATATTAATAATAAAAATAAAGTGCAACAACAAAGTTATGCATTTCCAATATGGTAGGTTAAATAAATATGAAATTCGGATACACCATAAAGGGTGTACGTTTTTTGTGTGAACGAAACTTTTACGAGGCGGTCTGATGTTAAATGTATTATCGATTCTTTAGACGGCTGCTGTTTAGCGCCTGTGAAAGTAAAGGTCTCAGGAGAGTTCAGAAGAATAGAAAATGAGCAATATCAGTCGGTGATTTGATTCTTGTTTTTTTTTTTTTAATATAATTCGTTTAATGAAATAGAAGAAAATATACCAGAAGATGACTAGAAAAAAAATGGTTTAACGAGTTTCACTCCGAACAACAAAATCGCTAAAAACGGTTATATTTGGAAAAGAAGAAAAAAAAAGTCCTGTCATAAATAAGTTACGGCAAGTATTATGAAAATGGTATTGAAGAATTTATTAACCGTCGTTGTATCGTTCTCGAAGTTGACTATATTGCATAAAAAAAATATTTATTTAACAAAAAAAGTAAAAGATTTTCTATGCTATGGTAGCCTACAAACTTTTAAGCCTACTTGTTACAAGCAAAGCAGGGTTTGACGCTATTTAAGCGCAATCCAAAGTAATGTCTGCAACGTATCGTGACTGTTGACAGAGTATGAATCCAATAGTTCATCAGCTGAAACAGTGAACCTCATCTAGCGTAGGCGAAGATGGTCTGGTTGTATGCAAGAGGATCAAAAATGTGTGATCTATATTTACTAAAAGATTAGGTTTGGTCAGAAGGTTAATACTAACAAGTATCTCACTCAGAACTCTTACTAAACTGATCATAAAAGGACGAAGGTATGACTGCCGAGATGTTGCAACCTCAGTCTTGCAAAAGCTGGACAATGGAGAAGTCTGTGCCTATAGATATTTCCACCACAACTTCTTAAATACATAATTTGCTTTTTACCGAATCGAACTGCCTTTGTAGCCGATGTTAATGGTTGTCTGGATTAATCTATTTTTTTATCCGTTTTGGTTTCGAAAAATAAATCAATTTATTTTATACAATTTATTTTATACAATTCGATGCAAAAGTTATTTTTTTGGTGTCTCTGAAGCAAAGTTTCAAAAGTATTTTTTCTCCTTTCCATTTGTTTTTCATTCACTCATGTAGCACCCATTTTCCACACTTTTACAACTTCCCCATATCCTGCAAGCGGTTTGAAATTGTTTGTTGTGCAACATTCAGCATGACTGGCATTTGCCTTTGACTTAAAGTATCATCTCTATCCAATATGCTAGCAGTTCGGCGCCTCCAAGCTATTTTGGTGGTCTTCCACGTTCTTCATTTCTCACATCAAAATCATTAATTCGGAACCATTGCAACCATCTTTGGCATGTTGCTTCTGATACAGCGTGATCACCTTATGTTTTGGCAAGTATTCTATTTGACTCTGCAGCACTTGCCGCTAAATGGCAACAAAAAATGAATGCTTTCCGCAAAGCATCATTTTTCGGTACAAAATTTGACATTTTCAACCGAATGAAAAATATGATGTTTGTTCAATGACTGTAAGGTTGTTGAATTTGGCATCTTTGACAAATGTCGAGCCGACCAAATGGTACAAAATCACGGCAAATTTTCGCTACCAACACATTTGGATCGTAACGCTCACTACACATCTGGCAGCTTCGATGCGGCCAAAGTTAATGTTTTTTCATATTCTCCACACATTTTGTAAAAACATATTAGATGAACGAATTTCAATCCTCTCTTTAAAGCTCGTATAAAAAATCCAGCATTATTGTTACTTTAGTCAAAAAAATCTATAAAATATTTAAGGGGATTTATAATGGGAATTATAGCTTACATTGCTACACTCGAACGGGATAAAAAGTAATTTCATAAAGTTTCCAATCATTAGCCGCTAATGGACATAAATGCATAATGCAGCCGTCGGCATTGAACTTGCAAGCATTTCTAAATTGAAATTGAAATGTCATATCAAAGGGAAATGCGATAAACGCGCCAATGCACACGATATTCGAAGCGCGCAATTGCAAACGCATAAAAACTGTCATTTGCATGTGCACACTTAGTAATATCTTAATGGAGCAGTTTAATTTCATTACAAAAACGCAAAAGCAAGCAAACAAAGTAACAAACATATTTGTTAATGGCATTGTGTGTGAGCGCGCTTCCACGTGGTGGCCAGCAACAAAAACGCTTGTATTAGCAGCTGCAACATGCAACAAAGCGGCGCCGGCGACCACAAAACCAGAAAGCAATTAAACAACAACTAAACATGCCGTTATACACACATATTCAAGCACTCACAAGTGTATAGCGCCAACAACTGTTATAACAATTGCCCGTTATTAGTGCGCAAGAAAAGTCCAATGGGGAAACAGCAATCGCAATTGTAGACGCCTGTGTTGCGGTGAAATGAAAACTAAAGTGTATGGAAGGCAATGCAAAAAGCCCACACAAAACACGCTGAGTGAAAACAAATAAGCTAACAAACAATTAGTGGAAATGAACGCTGCACCAGCGCATGGCCAGAGCGATGCTCTTTGCCTSTGTGAGTGTGTGTGGGTGTGTGTGTGTTTGTGTGCGACGAGCAACTGTTGCTGACTGCAGATAATTACGCGCTGCGGCTGCTTCCACTGACATTTGATCCCGCAAACACATCGTTAATGAGAGCTCGTCACACTCGCTGCGCAGCAGAGTCACGACTCCGCCACTGACGGCACAACACATACAACCGCACATAAGTAAAAAGGCGGATTAGCGCGAGCACAAAGTACAGAGCATTCAATGGCGTCGTGATAAAGGCAACTGCGAAGCGGAAAAGTGGTCCGAGGAGCTCAGCAGTTAAGATTACTAAAGTGCATTGTGCGGTGGTGAGGATGTGGTTGTATTTCTGAGTATACACTTAATTTCAGTTGCGATTAATATTATGTAAGAGTTCTACATTCACTGTTTTCTACTAAGTATACTTATATCGGGTGATTTTTTAAGAGCTTGATAACTTTTTTAAAAAAAAA